GGGGGGGGGGGGGGGGGGGGGGGGGGGGGGGGGGGGGGGGGGTGTTGCCGCTGTCACGAGCATTGGGGTGCCAAATTGCAGATGCCTTGCCTTTAAGTCCCAAATTGGCGGAAGATAGGCTGAGGCGGCAGTTCGTGCGGGCAGTCCGAGGAAGACTGTTTACGGATCTGAGTCCGTACTATGTAAACGCGAGGGATTTCCGGCCAAGGGGAGGTAGCAAAGAAAGGGGGAATCGCTCCTATCCCTAGGGTGAAGTGCGCAATCTTTCGGGGCTCGGCTTTGAGAATATTTTTGAGTGGCTAGCCATCCATACCTTAGAGATGCGTATACTTTGAGTCGCTCCAAAAGCTTGACCGACCGCTTTTCATCCTCGAACTGCTGCCAAAGACGTGCTGCGACCTCTTTCTGTAGCACGTAATTCGCACAAGAGAGGTGGAAACATGTGCCTTCACGATTGAAGGGGGGTCGTGGGTGATGCACACAACCAACGTGAAGGTCGGAGGTGGGGCACCGGCAAAGGAAACGGCGACCAAAAATAAGCTACGTGAGCAATATACTCAATATGTAGCCCAGCAGGCGGAACAGACAACCGTTCGCAGATCAGATCGACAACCAACTGACGGCAAGGCTTCAACACGGCGCACCCGACCACATCATTTACCTTTTGAGAAGCGCCTCCGCCGGACACGCGCCGCCCTTTGCGCCTCTTCCCCAACCACCTCTTCAGGCGACGCATTTGGACATTGGCTCGGAACGCATCCACGGAAACCTACGGAAGATTAATATTGTTGCGGAAAGAAATTTTGATACCGGCACAGACACTGGTCGCGACCGATGTCAGAGGAAGACGCTGTTTAAACGACGAACAAAATACCACCAACGTTGTGGCACGACACTTACATCGAAACGAGGTAATCCGTGCCCCACCGACACTATTTAGTGTGGCACTGGAGCCTGTCTTAATCCAAGCCCTCGATCTTTTAAGCATCGGAAGCACCCTGGTAGATAATGCCCGCATGATCGCGCTGCTGTTAGACGGTCAGTAGTGTAGCGCTTCCCTCATACACCAGAGCATCAACCAGAAAGCCAGAGACGTAATGTCACCTGTCGGAGCACCAACAACAGCGCGGCGCAGGCACCGTATGTGGTCGGTTCTGCATCGATCGCCTCCAGAAAAAGCACCTCTGCCTTTTTGTCATCACCGCTGGCAAGTGTATGTCTTGCAAGAATATACCTGCATGGTAGGCACCGGGAAGACAGAGTAGGTGTGCTTCAGCATGCATGGCCGTGGGGTATATATTTCAGGCCCTTGCGTCCTGCACTGCTGTTTCAGGAAAAAATACGACAAGTGCTCATACCAACAAGGCGACATCGTTTTGGGGGCAAAGCATCAATCTTGCACGTCCCGCTTGGAACGTGTTCACTATCAAAGCAATGTCTTGTAGCAGTTCCGTCGTCCTTCGCATACCATGTACTCGTTTCTGTTGGAGTGGCAACAATGCAGGAGGGTGATGAATAGTCTACGTGAAATATCGGCTCAAACACACGAGATGAGCGCGGAAATTACGGGTTTCATTTGCATAAATATGCCTCACGAAGGCTTTAGAGCGCGTGGGATGATGGAGGACCCTTGGCCAATGAGTGATCGGAAAAAAGCAGGGTGATGCCGACAATGGCGGTCGAAACTCGAAACAAGATTTTACAGAGCGAAACGGATCAAACAGTATCCATACCGCCAGACCAAACCGACAAAGAACACATTCCGACAAGCTTGTTGACCACGGACCTTGCCAAGATCCCGGTCTTGGTGTTCGGAGCTGACACGCTCGCCGCCTCTCGTAAGTGCCACTCTTTGGCGCCATATCCACCCCGTTCCTGGGTCTGTGTTCCTTCACCCCCACCGTCGCTGGAAGCATGGCCACGAGCTCCGCTCTTGCGCGCCTCCCTGAGGCTAAACCCTGACACCACTAGATGCACATCCCCCAGGACAGTCTGACCTTGACCGCTCATTTCTTTTTTCGTCTCCGCCGAGCCCCTGGCACGTTCAATATCATCATCGTTACTGTCTGGCCCGCCTTCCGCATGTTCACCAAAATACGCGTTTTCTGGCGGCATCGCCCCGCCCGCTGACGAAAACGCGCGCGCGAGGAGCCGTGCTGCTTCGTTCTTATCTTCCTCGGTCGGGAAGGCTAGCGGCCGCAAGACCTCATCCCCCGCCGGGACCGAACTTCCCGTCGGGGCTGCGACCGCTACCTTTGAAACATTCGGTAGTGGGGAACGTGGGACGTCCGTTTCCGGACGATTTGCTGCTTCAGCGTCTGCGGCAGCGGTTTCCCTGCTATGACCACCGGCATGCCCGTTTCCGTCGATGGGAGGGCAAGGCGCCGCTGCCGGCGGGCAGCGGCGGTAATGTGGGGCTAAAAGCAGTCGTGCGAGGCCACAGAGAGAGAGAGGATCTTCAAGTTCGCCATCTTTAGTTCGGCTTCCTCTCAAGGCGTCGTGGTTGCCGCTAGTACCGCCGGTGGCGGCCCTGCTGGCACGGCGAAATAGGGACATCGCCGACGATCGACGGCCTTGAGAAGCCCGGATCTGTGCGAGTGTCCGGAGCACGTCGCTTGGCACTGTCGATTTGAGGGGGTGGTGGGAAAGACGCCCCCGGTCAGACCAAGGTGTCACCAGTCGATTGAGTGCTTGCGTGTGTTGCATACTCAAAGCATTCGTTCCTGGCTCAAGGGGAAGTCAACGGGTTGTGTAGCTGGCGCTACTTCCTGAAGGTCAGCGCCTACGAAAAAGGCAGTTTTTGTTCTGTATCGGGGAAAAGGGAAGCGCGGTGGGAACAACACGACCAACGATCGGGCTGAAACAAAGTCGGGGAAGTCTGTCCAACCCCCAGGTTTTTCTGCCACACGAAAAGTGAAGAATTATTTCGCTGGGCATACCTTGAGGACCGGCGCTATCGACCGCTTTTACGAGCAATCCTTCCGCTCTAGCCACCGCACACCCGCCACCACGCTGTAGCAGCACAAACGCGAGCGCAGTCAGTGTCGGGACGTGGAACGGCTCGAGCTCTATCGCCCTCGCCAAGAGCGTCTCCGTGTGTTTTTCGTCAGCCGCCCGGTTGACCACCGCCGTTTGCGATCTCTCTCGCGCTAGATTGTCGCCGTTGTTCGAGGATGAATTCACTCTCCAGGTGTACAAATAGAGGGCCGCAGTTCGAAGCAGGGCTACGCTCTCTGTTCGTCCCGCCCCCAGGACTCGTTGCGGTTTGGAAGTGCACAGAGGTGCTGGCAGGGCGTTCAGGAGGAGGCTTCGGGGGGTCTCTTCGTCGTCGCCAGTGTGCTGGGGGAGTAATGCCGGCGCAGACGAACAGTGCATCACGACAATGTTGGACAGCTTATTCGATGAATGCGAAAGTCTAGGGTCCTCTGGCCGGTGGTGGCATCGTGTTTCATGAGAGACCGGCCTTCGATCTGCCATGTATATTTTCGCTTGACCTAATCAGAATCCATGGTTTCCACTCTCCTTGTTTCCAAGTGGTCCACACCTTTGAATCTCAGTACGAAATCCTATGTCTCTGGATAACTTGAATCGCATGCATATGTTGACCAATCCTCTCCAATCTTGACTCTGAGTTCTGGGTCAAGTTTTTTCTGAAGAGCAAATCAAGTATTTCACACAGTTTGTCGATGTTCCTGTCTCAAACGTTTTGGTGTAGTGACTGCGATATTGTGCTTACTATTTTGGGAAGTCGATACCCAAAGGGTGAGGTGTCGTCTGCCACAAGTGTGAATCCCTAAACAAGCTACCCCGGCCAAGCGTAACCTACAGGCATCGCCCACCTAGTTCAGACAACGGCGTGCTATTGACGCTTGAATCGGTCATATTCTGGACCGTTACCCGAAGCATCGGATGATGTCACATTGAATTCACACATTTTTTATGCAAAACCTCTTCGATTATGACAAACAACTATCCCGATCTTCCTGCCAAACACGCTACTCACCTCGTGACTTTCCCCATCGTTGTTGTTCTTATGCAGGGCGTTTCCCGCTGCGGTAGGTTCCAACATCAAGCGACGTCTGCACAATGCCACTGCCAGCCCTCTGGTGGCGGGAACAAACGGGCGATTGTTGAACTTTGCGGCATCCATGGCTCTCCGGAAGGAAGCAGCGGCCCTCTCCAGGATATTTAGCCTCAAGCATCGATCGGTACCTTTTTTGTTGTCCTTGTTGCCGGCCTCGCCGTTGATGTCGCTGTCTTGGTCGCTGTCACCGTTGTGGTTGTTGTTGTTGTTGTTGTTGTTGTTGTTGTTGTTGTTGTTGTCGTGGCCGTTGCAGTCGTTGTCGCTATGCGCGTTGGTGTTGTTCTCTTTCGAGAGCAAGAGGTGCCCAAGCGCAGTGTGTACTACAGGTTCGTTGAGATACCTGTTAAAATTGAACACGAGAACAATCATGCGTGGCATGACAAAAGACATCGGTTGCGGTGGTAGATGGAGATGATGCCAGCTACGTAGGCGATGGTGGCCGACTTCTAACGTCACTATCCAACCTTGACGTAAACAGTCAACAAGTAGCTGGTTTGCTTTAGGCCTAATGCTCTGAGAGTGGTGTTTGCCTGTGGAACATGAGAAGGAGAAGTAAAAAAGTGATCATTGCAAAGGGGTTTCAACGCAACCTGTTGATGGGTTTCAGACACTACGAGAGTACACAACAGGCAAGGGGGTGGGGCCTAAAGTTGTCACATTCTCGTCCCGTTTGTCGTCGGGACCATGTTTGTTTTTCTTGATGTGTGCATGTCCAGAAAGCGACAGCCTACGCTACTCCGCGGATGATGTCGCGTTTTCAGCAGCTGTCACGGCGTCATCGTCCTCCCACCAAGTGAACAACTGAATAATGTGTGTGAAGCATCTGGTGCAAGCGACGGTGTATCGTCACCTCATAGCAGTGCCCATCAAACTTTCTTCGGGCGAAGAGTCCACGTCGCCACCACCCCCAGACGAACCGGCGATGCACTCGAAAAGCTTCGGCGAACGCTGACAAAACTGTGCCCGCGCGACGAGCGTAAAAGGAACAGCTTCCCCCCTGAAGTCCAACCTGACCCCATCCCCTATCGTTCCGCCGTCGGGATTCAGGTTCCTTCTTGAACGGTACTGTCCCAGTCGACCCGGCAATGAAGCCGCAGCAACAGCAGCTCTGTTGAGGGCGAGCAGAGCCAACTGTGGGTCTTTCAAACAACGTTCAGCGAACTTAGCGTAAAATAGCCACAACAACCATACCCCACGGCCGCCGCCACCGCCGCCGCCATGCCTGGCTGCGCCAACGTTGCTGCTTCTGGGTGTTGAGTCGTACTTGATCGGCGTGTTGTGACCGGCGTGGGTAGTGGTGGCCGTCGCCCCGACAGAGACGCTCGCGCCCTTTCTTCGGATCCGGGTTGGCGTCAACGTGGGTGAAGAGGGTGGTGCCGCCGATGCTTTTGATCTCACACTTCCACCGACGGTATTGAGAATGGGTGTGCAGGAGCGTGGGGCGTGGCCATCGCCGTTGAAGTTGAGTACAGAGCGGAGAAGAGAGTCGATTTTCATAGTGGCCCTGTGGCAAGAACGGTTTCCAGGAGAAAGAAGCGGGGAGGGTGGGGGGGAGTTGCGGTCAATCAACGACCGTGGCAGACCGGAACAGGCTCTTTCCTACAATCTTCTTCGGCATGCGTTCCCAATCAAAGTCGGAAAAAATGTGCAGGGACTGGGGACCTGGTGTACCGGCACAGACTTACGAGACTGAATATTTCGTGGGCGCGTTTGCGTTGGGGAATGTTTAAAGGGAAAACAATTTAGGTGCAGGTTCGCGCAATAACATGAGGATTTGTCGTGATGGGCAATGACTGTCACCAAAATCCGCACTCTACGCAGCAGACCATCGAAATTGGGCACCCACCCATAGTACTAGCGAACATTTACCTGGACGGCGGTCGCTTGTCCTTGAAAGGTCCGAGTTGCTCCAGCATGCAAACCGCCAGATGCACCTGCGAGGCCGTTGAAGTCATCAGCAAACCGCGCCCAGCAAAGGTAGCGCGCTGTGCACAAGGGTGCCCTCCGCATATGTTCGCCCACCATAACATATGCAGGCCGTTTTCACCATGAAATTGAGGCAGGATGGGTTGACTGTGCGGAACCCCACACGGCGACGTTTCTAGCAAGTGCCCGCAGGCACGTGGATGTGACGGCCACTGCTTTAACGTGGTTCTACTTCATCGCCTTCGTTGTTGGAAGACGGGGAGAGCCAACAGCTGCTAGTTGATCAACCCATTCCTGTTGATGCATACGCGAAGGAGTAATCATCTCCGGGTGCTCCTTGTCTCGGCTCAGGATCGCTGCAGGTTGGAGCTACACGAGTTTTCCCCCAAAATTGGGACAACAGAGTTGTGCTCCCGAAGTATTCCATGGAGCCATGGACGTGTTTAACGTACAAAGTGCCGTAAGCCATGTCGTGCAACAGTTTTTCGCTGGGAACCAAAAAATAAATCGTTTAGGGCTGTAAAGGTGCAGCGTTGTTCCCCCAATCGATTCGTCGGCTTCGAAGGCAGCCAAGTGCCGTTGAAAAATTGGCTCAGGTTGGTGCTATCAAGAGCTTTCCAAAACGAACCGCTCACTTTCGAGTGCCGCCTCTGTTCAAAAACGTGGGAATACAATACAGTATCCCAGAGCGAGCCTCAAGGACTCAACACTAGCACGAAACCGGGATGGCTCACTTGAGGACGTATTATTTTCCACTAAGTGCTTCGACCGATCGTTCGCACGCGCACATGACGAACGTTTTTTCTGTCGCACACTAAGCTGGTCTTTTACCCCTTTGAAGCATTCTGTGAGCTCTTCGTGACGTTATTTCTTTGAAACATGTTCGGACGCCAAACATGGTGGTAAGAGGGACGGGGGGGGCTAGTTAACAACGAACTTACAAACATGTAAGGCAATACCTTTGCCGAAGCATGCCAAGGGCTCTCCCGAAGGCAGGCCCTGAAGAATGCTGACGCCCTCTTTACGCTTCGGTTATGGAGTAGCTCGAAGCGGCCGAGCTCTAGCAGAGTCTCCGCCCTGGGTTGCCATGATTTGTCGGAAGTCTCCGATGAAGATTGCGGCGACGTGGAGGCATCCATCCCTCTTTGTGGCGCCGCAGTAGCGGGAGCTTTCCGGAATGGGGACTGTGCCACGCGCTGGTGTTCCGGGTTCGTCCAGTCCAGGCAGCTCACAACTTTGCGAAAGCATGTCTTTCATGCGTTAATACGCGTACGGGGCAGGGGTTCAAGGTTTGCACAGCGTGAAACGGCTCGTGCTGTTGGGGCACGATACTCACAGAAGAGAGGAGCGCAAGTACAAGATATACTCCCGTAAGAATGCTGCAGTATAGTCGCCCGATAGTTTCAGGGCGTGTTGGTTCTGCGCCCATTGACGTCTCAACAAGCAACGTCCGGGCTCTGTTTTGTCTTCATCTCACCAACGTATCCGTTACTCTCGCCGAGGACGGCGTTCTCTCTGCATGAAACTTCATCAGAGTAAGCCAGTCTTCAGCCGCCCCAACTCCAGCCGTCTTCCCTCCCCTCTCTCCTCCGTTCGCTGCATCGTCACGGCCGCCCGAGAGAGATGTAGCTCTCGTGAGGTACCTCTCGGCCACACTTAGCTCACCCTGTCGCCTCAGGATGTGCAATACACGGGTTGTTGGGACTTTCAACTTGTCTGGTCATTGGGGTCCACCATATATTTTTGTTCCGGTGCTACAAACGGGCAGTTGGACAGGCCGACACCGTTCCAGCTCTCAAAGAGTGAGTTATGCTTCAATGAACACCCCGCACCTTTCGCGCCGCCAGTCTACCATAGCTTGACAGGGCTGGTTTGTAGTCGGGGTCATGCAAAAGGCACCCCATGAGAATGACTTCCGCCGACCGGAAGTCTAAGAGGTACTCAAACACTTCGCTGGCCGACACCAGAACCGCGGGGCTGCTCAAGAATCGGTTTATTGACGCACGTGCAGCAGGTAGAGGGGAAAAAAGGAAGAATAAATGTCCGTACTACCAGCAATTGACGATTTACTGTAGGCTGAAAAAACTGGTTTAATTGAGGTCTCAACTGCGGGCGGTAGCGGGAGGGTGGGGTGGGGGCGGTTTTCGTCTCGGTTAAGCCAAAGCGACCGGGTTTGGAACATTGTTGGCGCCGCTGTTGTCGTCGTTGATGGCGGTACCGTTCAACATAATTTGTTACTGCTCGTAGAGATTCCAGGATCTCATCGAGCTTAGCTTCGATACTCTCAGTACAACGTATTCCTCTTTGGATACAACAACACGCACCGTTGAAGTAGAGTCGTAACCGGTACCGATCAACTACCCCATCCCCAACGAGAAGCGATGTTTCCGATAATTTTCAGGTGTGGACAAATAATTACGGCAAGCAGCGTCATTATCAGCTGTTCCCTGATAGATAGAAAGGCGTGCGTTTGCTACAGCAACGTAGGAAGAGTGTACCTCATGTCGCGACCAGCTTTGGTGCTGTTGTCCGCGACGGTTCGCACAGCCTCTTTGACATGTCGCACGGCCTGCGGGTAGCGGCCGGTGGCAACGGCAAGACGGCCGGCCACGACCAGCAGCTTCCCGCGTAGGCCGGTCGGCAGGGTGGGCAGGGGTGAAAACGACGACGAGGAAGGCCGCGTGGCTGGTCTGTCTTTGCCTTCGTTGCCTCTGTTGCCGTGGTTGCCTTTGCTGTCTTTTCTGCTGATGCCGTCGCGCTCCGAGGTAGTGAACGAGGAGAGTATATGAAGGATGACCTTGTTTTGAGGAAATTCAAGCGGGCGGACATTTGGATACTGTAGTTGAGGTCACGGGTGACAGCAAACATAATCACGTATTGACACGCCAGGGGTAGAATGGGTTCCATTGGCGAAGTACAAGTGTCAACGAGTCAAAAGGAGCAGCCAAAAAGCGCCCGGCCAGTATGATGGGAAAAAGAGCCGCGGGGAAAACCAATCATTTTCCCTCCCTCCATTTCACGAAGAGAGCAACCTGGACACTGTAGTCCATTGCAACCGAATGATCCATATAACGCAAGGCATGACAATTGGTTTTCACACAGACACACACCGCGGCACAGAGGCTGTCGCTCCCCGTCCCCTGCCTCACCTCGTACGCCTCTCGAAGGAGTTCGTTCTCCGTCAGGAACTGCGCGAACCGGCAAAGTCGAGCCAACTCCAACGGGTACTTGTCGACGCCGTGAAGGTGAGCCGAGAAGGCAGCGGCCACGGCATCAGGCTTCGTGGGCGGCTTCGCGCCCACCCTACTACCCCGCCGTTTACCACCCGGTACTACAGCTGCCGATTGCATCAAGCCTGCCGCTCCCCGCCGGTATCGAAATGATCCTGTGGCGGGCGTGTCCTCCTCGACGGATTCCAGCGTGGATACTGGTGGGAGCAAACCGGGTGTCGGGCAATTTTCACCGCCTGCGTTTTCCGAAGGCGACGGCCACGACATCGTTGCTCCACCGTGGCTGGCACCCGCATCATCACCGTTCCTCACCCTTAAACCGGTTGTGCCCACCACTGCCGATGGCGGTGATGGTGCCTCTTCTGCATCCTCCGTAGAAACGACACGTTCGAGACTCATGTTGTAGGCGTCTTTTCCCCACCCGGCGTGGGCATTGTACTGATTGGGGTCGCCTGTGGACGTTGGTGCTTTCGTATTTTTTTCCCCATCGGGTGACCCGGTCCGCGGGCTGCCTTGCCAGCAACGGTCGCAGCAGAACGGGTTTGTTTCGTTCCCCCAGCTAGACTGCTCCCGCACGACCGGAAACTTCTGGCGTAGATCTTCAAGCAGCTCCTAGATGGCGAGACGTTACGCGAAAGCAGTTGCCGAGAGGGAGTTTTATCGCGTTGGCGGTGTGTGGTCAGATCTGCGAGTACCCTTCCTGCTCACACCGGTTTGCGTCATATGTATGCGAGATCAAGCGGAATGGTTCCCGTGGTATAAGGAATCCCATGTGCGAGGTAAGACCCTCGGCCGCCTAACGCACGTCAAACACAATTGTTTCGTTGAAACAATTCGGGTGGGACTCTTAGGAAACACATACCTGACATATTCGACAACGACTTCGTTGGGGAGCGATGCCTTCAACTGCCTCCCCACCTGATGGCGTAGATGCTGCCTCCGTCCGCTGCCCACACAACTATGCACACATGGAGAGTAACCCGAAAATAAGGAAGAGGATACTGCCATTTTGGTGGAAGTGTACCCCGAAAGCAGACGTGACGATTGGGAAAGACTACAGCACGGGTTCACGGTAGCCATTTGCATGAGTTTACGGCTCGTTACGCACATATGCGCATCTCCCGCGGGTCGAAAACAAGGTGGGGAGACGTAAACAATAAACCGATGCAGTGAGCGCGTGCTCCGCGAGATCTTTCCGAAGACGATGACTGTCAAAACGCGGACTTTGAGTCGAAGAAGCGCAATCGATGCCACGAGCGTGTGTACGGAATTGACCAACACGGTCTGCACGCATGGGGGATGCCTCCTCTTCCAGCTGTACTTGTGAGGATTATAAACTTTCTTCCGCACCTGCGAGTCCGAGAAAACGAAACGGCCCACAACATCCAGCAGCTCCGCAATGTGGGCTGAAGAAACCTTTGCCTCTCTCGCACAGGATAGGCGCGCGTTCAGAGCGCGCTCCACCCTCTCGAGGGCGTTCAAAGAGGCCCCGATCCTCAGCTGCCTCCCAACGTGCACCGCCCGGAATGCATCTGTCTCCCCGAGAATACGTCGTCTTCTAGCGGCCACCCCGGCGTTGTACCGTCTGGCCAAGCGTTGGCCTAGGGGTGTCAATGGACCGAAAGCATCAGTTCGCCGCCGCTTTTCCCTGACCAGATCGATGCCACCACAACCACCCCACACCCTGATAGGTTTACGCGAGCTTCCTTTCTTCCGGAGAAAAGCTGAGCGTACTTGTTCCTGCTTGTGGCGAGTCGGTAGGCGATTCGCATGGGAAGACAGCAGCCACGGTCGGCCAAGACCGGCGAGGGAAGCGTCCTGTGCCTCCACCCGCAGCCTCTGCCGAAGGATTTCCGGCGACGACAGTCTGGGAAAACCACGGGTGCCTTCGCGGCCGGCGGAGGTCCCAGGAATGACGGAGGGGCGCGAACTTGGCAAAGAATCGCTCGATGTTGCGGTCCGCGCAATCAGACGGGAAGGAGAAGGCGGTGGCGGGGGTGGCGAGAAGGCAGTTAAGACGTCGGATGCTCGGAGGCAGAATACCGACGACGCCGAGTGAAGGCGAGCGGCCACCTCAGGGTCAAGCTTCGTGAAAGGGCCCTTCGATGCAGGAACACCGGGCGCCCTCTCGCTGCTGTCGCGAGGTTTCCTCCTCAATGAGCCGCTGCTAGGAGGAGGGAGGGTGTACAGCGACGGAGCCCGCGCGCGCAAAGGCAAGGGTGGGAATGTGGGCCAGTCGTCGTCGGGGCAGTCTTCCGATGATTCGGGCTCGGTGTCGTCACCGTCGTTGTCCGAATTGCCGTCCACGCCGTCTGCTTTGTCGGCACCTTCGTCCGGACCGCTGGCACCTGCGTTGTCCCCCAGATCCGGTTTTTGTGCTTCTACTTCTTTATGCGACACGGAGGGTGCTGCTGATCCATCGTCGCTACTACAGCCACGAGCAACATCGACTCCGGTTCCGCCGAGTAAGAAGTTATCGACCTCCCGTCGCAGGGACCGCAATGCCAGGAGGAACCAGTGAGCGGTAGCTCTACTTCTGCTGCTGCCGGCGTTGCAGAGTTCACCCGACGAGTTGGCTGCAGATGGTAAGACCGGCACAACCGTGGCCCTCTCTGTCGAAAAACCGCCGGGAACTATTCCCAGCCTACCATGTCTTCGACGCCGCCTAAGAAATGATTGTATTCGTGCCGCAGCGGCGATTTCCTCCTCCTGGGCTGCCATCTCGATAGCCATGCTTGAGCCAGTGACACTAGCTGCTGCTAGAGGCGAGGACGGCCCTCTTGGTACGATTTCATTGCCGGTCTCGGCTCCTAGGCCGTTGGGTAGAATACTAGCTGTTTCCGGGGCGATTACAACGGCTTCATGCGTGTGTCCAACAACAACGGCAGCCGCATTGGCGAGTCCCTTACCCCTCCTGTTGCCCTCGAATCTCTCTCCGAGGTCGTTTTCTGAAATGCGATTGATTTCCTGAAGCTTTCCACAATGCGTTCTGACCGAGGCGTGATGGTCATGAGTGCTTGAACTACGAGACAAGGCGTATTCTCGGGGAAGCGGCTTTTCGGCCTCGGCGTCCGCGATGAGCTGTGCCCCAGCGTCGCCCAGGGCCAGCGAGGCAGCGGCCTGGCCCGAAGCTATGAGTCTTAACTCATCGGCGAGTCTACCCGCCTGACTCCCCCTGCGGTTCGCAGCAAGAGTGGTTTGAAACGACACGCGACAAGGACATCCAGCACAGTCGATCATTTGCGTGTGTGTTGTGTTCATGCAGGGCTCTTCGGTCGCGCTTGGAATACAGATTAAAGGGTGAAATGCGAACATGTTGATGGGTCTGTGTGTTGGGCCAGTCGAGCAGATCACCGAGGCCCGAGAGTCTTTTATAGCTCTGAGAAAAAAACTTAACCGTTTAGGACTCCACATCCGACGGCATCAAGTGCACCAACGCACAAGCATACTCGCCACAGCTTTCATTGTGTTCCCGCACTCACTCAGAACATCTTCTACCTGTTGTACATGTGCACTCTACCTTGAAACCCAACAAATACCTGCGGATGGCTTGAGCGCGGGCGGCGGCGACGCTCCCGATGTCGACCCCACTCCGGAGTTTTTTCACCACGGCGGCAGCAAGCCTACCAAGCCGGCCTTGTGCCGTTTCGGTCGTCCTAGTTTCCTTCATACTGGCTTCGGTCATGTCCGTCTCGGCCGCTGCGTTAGAAACCGTAGCGGCAGAACCGGTGACAGCGGTTCTACTCCCGTTGTCGATGGTGGCGTGCTGCACATTGTTGATCGAATGTGAGTTGTCCCCTCCGGGGCTGTTGAAAACAGCCCCGCTCGCCGTCAGAATGAATTGCTGAACCTGCCCAATTTTTCGGGCAGTGGCATCGCTTCACAAGGATCGAGTAGACGAAACTTAGGCTGGTCGCCGAGCGGATTTGACGATAGGATGGCTAATGTACAATTTCGTTTCAACGCGCGGGGGAGAGTGTATCCTGAGATGAACTTGGTGCTGAGGAGAGCTTACCTGTTCCCATGGCTCGTGCTCCATTAACCATTGAACGCTGACCCCCAACAAGGCGGGCTGTGAAGCAGTGCGCGCCAACAATAATGAAAACATGGCAACTACAAGCTAGAAAGGGCTAAAATTGCGTTGAAAATGCTGCTCGGGAGGAATGGTCCAAAGCCTCAATTACATTTATCATGAGAAAGCCGGCACTCGTACCCGACATGCCAGCTTTTCTTGCACCAGGGTTAGTCGCCGGATGTCGTCGGCGACAAACCTTGCAGTTGCGGGGTCTGGAGCCACCTGGCACAAAGAATGAGGCACCAGTGTTCACGGCAACCGGTGGAAACCTCGCGAATTGCCTTGCCATGGCACACTTGCTCTTGAACATGGTTTCTATTCGTCAACACCACGTTGTCGGCGTGGTTTAGGGTTATCGGAGAAACCGATGTGTTGTGTTTGTGGAAGAATATTTTAATCAGCATTTATCAAGTACCAGTCGTGGACACAACCACTGTCTCACTGCCATTCCTTCTAAACTAGTACAAGCACCTCCATTCTCGCGGCCGTATGCTGATGCCTAGCCGCCACCAGCTTCGCATCCTCCGCCAGCGACTCCGCGAGGCGACCTATTCTTCCCTTCCGTGCGGCTCGTGCCTCCATCCGTGCGTCGATCTGGTCGGTTTTGACAAGAAAGCGGGAACTTTGGTGCGTCGTTTGCGTGAAACGCGGCATCTGATGAAAAGGTTATAGTGTTTCGTGGTACCCGAGCCTGTTGCCAATCAATACAGTCCAGCCTAAATTATCAACATGAATGAATCCCAACCAGGTTACAAGGGCGGGCGAAATGACCTAAGTTGCCTCGGTTTCCGTGAATCTCACCCGCGAATGATCCGTGCGTTCGACAACCTCCTCCATCAGTCCGACGGCCTTCGCCTGCAACCCCACCGAAGGCCCAAGCACCGCCAGCGCCTCGAGCACCTTCGGAAACTTCCGGTGAAACGTTCGCGGATCTGCCGGCAGGGTACCCCTCGCATCTTCCGATGAAGACTCCTGGAGAACCTCGCTAACCACCTCGCTTTGCCGTGACGCGAGCCGGCTGACGTCCGACGCGAGCGCATGTGCAGCTCCACTCGTGGTGGTGTCGCAGGTGTCTGTGGAGGCGCTGGTGCGTTTTATCGGTGCACGTTGCTTTGGATTGCTTCGCTCGGCGGCATCGTTGTCCCTCGACCGACTTCGTTTGCGCGCATCGCCTGTTTTATCATCCTGGGAGAAATCCCACGCACCTTGCAGCTCATCTTGGCGTATCGTGGGCGGTTGGTCGGACTTTTTCCGATCTTCTTTATCCTTTTCTCGGTTGTCAGCATCGTACACACGGGGTTCGCCCTTTCCTCGACTGCCTTCTTCCCCATCCTCTGTCGTGAAATCGCTACTCGGTTGGGGTGGGTTGTGGCTCATGCCAACAGGTGGGATCTCATCCACTTTGACCTCCTGTGCGAGGCAAGGCGAGGTTCCTACCACACCTATCTCGAGTGGTGAAGCACCTGAAGCGGTCGTACTCGAGTCGTCATCGCCGTTATCTACCGCGATGGAGTGCCGTATGGCCTCTCTGAAATTCGCCGCAGCTTGTGCTTGCTGAGCAGCAAGATCCCTGTATTGCCATCGCGAGCGTGTTTGGCGGATTAGACGGAATCCGATATTTAGTCTACTGGGTTGACAAGCGTATGTAAAGAACGGAGGAGTTGGCACTTGAAGAATGGATGTCGTGTACGACTTGTTGTTGGACAGTTGGGCGAGCTGGGAGACGGTAGTAGGACCGGGATATGGCTGGTTAATCTTGTATACGATTGGATAGTTCGAAAAAAATCCAGCAAGAAGGACTTCTGCGGCCGTAGATGAATAAAGCCATTCGGGAATTACGACACAGGCACATAAGGCGATTCCATTGCTGTATTCACCTGACAAGACTAGTATGCGATTGGCAGTGCCCCAAACCCTTTGACTTTAGTTCGAGAGCCGGAGACACCCACTTGAAGTGATCATACATACGAGCGCGTTTTGACGCCGCCTGGGCACGTGCATGCATGCCGTACCTGATTCTGATTGCTTCGCGCTTAGACGCATCCGTCCCGGCGGCAGTCATGGTCGCTCGAGCAGCAGCCTGCGCCTGTGCCACCACCAGGGTGCGTAGTACCTCAAGGCTTTCCAGCGGGGCCGTCGTATCGAGATAGATTCCTTTTCTGGTCTTTTCCTCCTCGGCCTCATGCTCTAAGCTTTCCATTTCCTCCCCTTCGTAATCGAGTTCGCCGCCATTTGTGCGTGAAATGTTGCCCTCGCTTTTTATGTCCATTTCACGGTCCACGCCAGCACTTGCGCCAGCTGTCTTGTCATCACCAAAGGTCGTTTTTGGAGGTTGTTGTTGTTGTCGTTGTCGTTGTCGTTGTTGTTGTTGTTGTGCCTCCTCGTCCTCCGGCCTGACGGAATGTTGACGCAAGTAACCGTCTTCGGACGAAGATCCGCTGTGGTCATCATTGCCTTCCGAAAACGTTAAATCTGACGGAATTCCTCCCTCCCCGGAAGTCCTTTCCGAACTCATGGTGGTTCGACTACTGTTGTACATTCTTTCGTCCGAATCATTGTCGTCCGTGTTGGCGACATCTTCTGTGCTCACTTCTTGGTCAAAACCATAGTAGGCATTGTGGGAAGCACTGCGCTCATCCTCTGAAGCGTCTGCATCTTGTTGTCGCCGAGACCCTTTGGAGGAGGATACAGCAGTATCGTCGTTTTCGCCGGGTGGTCCATCAGCATTCGAGGATAGAACCTCGGCGTTTGGCGGTGTTGCTCCTCCTCCGCCCCCAAGGTAGCCGTTTCGCTGAAATCCTTCCTCGTCAATTGTTCCCAGAGGTGCCGACTCGTACCCTGTTCCCATGCAACCGTAGGCATCAATTCCTACTGGAGATCCATCACGGTCTAGCTCGGAACAGTGCTCGTGTTCGCTCAAGGCATAGGTATGGCCATCTTCTCGAGATGGCGACCCTTCTTCCGAAGTTGTGTTACTATTGCTGTCAACGAGATCGGCGCGATCATTCCATCCGTTCAAGCTCGCCTCTCCGTCAACGCTCCCATCGTACGTTTCAGCCTCTTCTTGACCACCACCGGTAGTTGATTTCGCCGTCGTTTCTTCTGGGACAGAGCGCGGTGATTGTGCTATGTCTTCGATGTTGCACTCTTGCTTCGAGTGAAGAAGAACTACCGTGCCCTGAATGTTGGACACGTCGTCAAGATCGTCCATTCCGTTGGACGTTGTGATACGCTCCATTTCGTTGTCGTCGATCTTGCTATCGCTCTCTTTGAGCATATTCCGCGAGCGTTGGCTGTCTCGCTGTGCTTGCCATAGTAGCGCTTCTCTCCTTCCCATGCGACCCCGTACCACCGCTTGGATCGTCGTGGCCGCTCGTTGCTTTGCTTCCAGTTCTTCTCGTCGCCTACTATCGCGACGCCCGACCAGCCTTGAATGTAACCGCCTCGCCGCCCAGCCCCTGGCTTGCGCCTGGAGCTCCACGATCGCGGCACATTGTCGCCTGCGCAGCATGCCCGCTTGCAGGCGCTGAAGAGCGAACGTTGCGGCAGCCACGTCGTCGAAAGAGAGTCTAGATGGCTGTTTCGCGGTGAAAGGGACGATGTCTAAGCTCCCGCCGTCTCCTTCCAGCACTTCCGTAACGGGTGACGCGTCGTTCGTGCTGCTGTCGCTGGACGGTTCTGAGGCTACTTTTATGGGTCCAAGGTCGGGTAGGGCGGACAAATTCCCTGCTGATCTCTCGTTGTGAAGTACCTCTCCGGTTCCCTCATTGCCGCTGGAAGTGACAGGCTCCCCAGGTGGACTTGATCGCCGTCGTAGATCGTCGGGTCGGTCGAAATCTTGCGCTGTTGAGACGTTACCTGTGTCTCCTTCCGTCCCATCTTCCCCTGCCAAACGCGATGTTGACTCGGCCTCACTACCGGGACATTCTTCTTGTGGAGGGGAATGCTGCTGACAGATAGATGTTTTTTGTTCTTTCGCGTCGAGGTCGTCAGCAGATGTTGGCTGACCTAGACTATCGACCGAGACAACCGACGCCAGCGAATGGCTGACACTCTGGACACTGCTAGAAACGCTGCTGTTGGCCGTGGTTTCTGCGGTCTGGTCGTGTTTTTGTTCTTCCCCGTAACAGGGTTCTTCCTTGAACGAATCGCCTGCATCAACACCCGACGAAGGCGTTTCCGTGCTATTTTCAGCGATGGGTGCATGCTTAGAAGAAGTGGAGTGTTTGGAGGTCTCCTCTTCCCAATTCTTGCTTTCCAACCCCGGGCCTGAGTGATTGCTTCCCGCAGACGATTCTGCGTCCGTCGAGTGCGATGCGTCTTCGTCTATATCTGCGGGACTCGCTGCTTCTCTGTCCTCCCTCGGGACTTCGATGCTAACAACTGCTCCTCTGTCGAGCGTGGACGAGTGACCAGTGACATATTTCGCCAGAGAGTCAAGCTCCCCGCCATACGTGGACAAAGTGGAGTTCGAGTCTACCCTCTGCAGAAACGGGTCCGGATTCGACGTGCTGGTGTTTCCGCCGCCACTATTGTCGTGAGCCTGCCCACTTGCAGGAACCTCCTCTCCTGTTCCCGGCAACTTCGACAAGTCGTCGGTTTCAAAGACTCTCGGCGTCGCAAGTGCATCATGTCTTTGGTCAGTAAAACCACCGGTTGCTAACGCGTTGCGATTCTCATTTTCGTTTTCGCTCGGTACGCTTGTCGCAGTCTCCGCGCCAACAACCGCTGAGGTTTCCATCTGCGGGCCTTGGGCCGTATCACCGTCGTCAGGTGCCTGACAGCCATCAATCTCTGGCGGTTTCTCCCACTGCGTCGCCCCGGTGGTCTCGTTTACGTAGTACGTGCTACCCGTGTTGGTGTCCACAAGGCTACGCCACTTTTGTTTGGCTCTCAGCAAGGCTGGTACCACTCCGATCAAGGAGGTCTCCGCTTGGTGGGCCTGCTGATATGGGCTCGGGGTTAACGGTGCCTCGGTAGGGCTATCAAGAACAGCTTCTGTCGGTAGCGCGACTTCTGTAGGTGATGGTTGTTCCCACTGGGACACACCGGTGGCTTCGTCAACATAGTATGTGCTACCTGTGTCGCTGTCCACGAGCGCCCGCCACTTTCTTTTTGCCCGGATCAGAGCTGGTGCTAAACTGACCAACGACGCACCCTGTTGTGGCAGTTTCGCCTGAAGGATTGAGGGGTTCGCACTACTCGAGTCCAAATGTGACGGGGTGGTGATGCTTCCCGAAGAAGTATCCGCTTTGGAATCAGCACCTGCCGTTGGCATGTCTGCCGGCCGTTCCCACCGGGATTCGAGAGTGACGGTGTTGTGGTAGAACGTGGTGCCGGTTTGCGGATCAGTTTCCTTTTTCCACGCGCCTGTTTATCCGAAATAGGCATGTACGAGACTCAGCAAGCAAGCGAATGCTAGATCATAGACTAGTCGTTGGGTAACTTGCAAGAGAACCTCTCGTAGCTCCACTCGCGGTGTGTATCTAGCACTTACGGCTACGCTAGATGAACCAAGCGGTGACCCTTTGAGGATTGACTACAGCGAGAGCTTCGTACAACTCTAGGTCTACGTCCATGGTTTATATCTGTTCTATTACGGGTAGCCCGAGGGAGCACGAAAGAGAAGTCTCAGTCTACAGAAGGAGTTGATACATTCAGTCCAGAGGGCCTGGGGGGGAAAGGGGGTAATACTTTACATCAAATATATTTTCTTTGCTGTAGTTTGCTGCAGAGCTTCGATAGTATGTAGAATGAATACTCCAATGCATAGACTAATGTCTAGCCTTCAAGCAATACCTTGATTAAGATCGCGTAATACATACACACGTAGTCTAGATGATTCCGTTCTTGTACAGATGTTCGGGCGTAGACGTCGTGAACAACAACAGAGAGAGCGAAACAGAGATCAGTCTGTGCTACTAACCTCAGACCACCTTCTCCACCCCCGCACAGGGAGCACAACGTACATTCACTGGCATATGTAATCTCTTTGGCCCACCTCTTGTTGTTCTTGTTGGTAAATTGTCCTCCATTCCATGGCCAGCGACGACGTCGCCATTTGGGTCGTTTTCCGTGCCCTCCTGTCTGACCAAGGCCGATGGTATCGTGGGCAGTGAAATCTGGTAGGATCGGTTGGAGGACAGGTAGTCTTCTTCATCATCGTCTGCCATTCCTCATGTCACTGTGCTGTTGCCCTGTTGTTGGTCACTACTGTACAGTGTCTTGTGGTGTGTGCCTCGGAGAGTCTGGATGGCACTTCGATTCTTGGTGTCTCATATCCACGGAGGGCGCACTTCATTAGGCTCCACGTCCTCCGGCTTGTGTCACATCCCGCTGAGGCCCTCCTCCAAGGTGTGGTGTTGTGTGCATACGTACCTCTATCTGTCAACATCTACTCTGCTATTTGGTCTTTTGCTGGAAAGAGAACCAAGAACAAATGGTTCTTTGCAAAGATCCACCGTTGATTTTTGCGACCGTTTCACTCACCCCTACCCCCTACGCATGCTGCTTCCCGGAACCTTCGAACGCCCTTGTTAGCCTCCACATCTCCACATCTTATGCTTTGCGCTCTGCAGAGACCTATCAATCATGCAACAACAAGCAATACCAACACACCGTCGACCATTCCCACTCTCTTTATCTGCCCTTTGTACCCTAGGCCGCAATGCCCTCGCGTAAACCACACCACCCCGCAGCAGCGCGCCCGAAGCTGCTTGGCTGATACGGACACGAACATCAACCCAACCACAGCCAGCCGCGAGCGGAAAACATTTTCAAGTTCAAAAAAGTGGTCGCCCTGGATCCTGACCATCCGCTGTCTGTCAAATGCTATATTTCCACGGTTCCCTAGCGTAGAAAATGCGTTCCGTATGGATGGCTCTTGCTGATCGTCCAATTCACACGTCTTGTGGTTCGCCATGCCCAGGACCATTTTCGATATGCCGTGATCTTCACTCACTCACCATCTTCACACATTCTCTCGCCGTCATTCATTCATTTAGAATGCTGGCCGACTCGTAAGAATGCGTACAGCAATTTGCGCATGGTGCAACACCTTGCAGTATCTCAACGACTGAGGATACAGAGATCTTCTCTTAGGTACCACATGGTAAGAGTTAGTGTGGTGCCGCGGCGGCTGAGCCAATTTCTCACTTCATTTTCAGTTTTCACAATCGGTGCTTCTCTCTCGGCTAGCCCGAGAAAAAAAAGTAAGTTGTCGGGCTGTTGTGTGGCATTTACGTGTCGTCTATTCTGTTTCTGGGACCCCTTGGTACAGGTTTGGAGAAAGATCTAAGGCATGAAGTTACGCAAATGTCTACATCCGAACGATTCGGGCTATCATGTACACTTTGTTCCGGTCAGAGCGAGAGTTTGGGTTCAACGAGTGGTACCGTTCGGAGGTCGCGCATATGCATACTCCGCCATACAGACAGAAATGCTAAAAAATGACATTGAAAATACGCATTTGGCATCTCGGCGCGTGCGCATCAGGTAGTCGGGCGTGCGACACGGTACTTTTACACGCACAAGGTGAACGCGCAAAACGGCATCGAGAGACACCACTTCTCCCCCCCCAAGAAGTTCAACCGGCTTGGGGTTAGCGATACTGTTCGACTCAGAACTCCAAATATGATCGAATCGCTGGCGATAGCAGCGAATGACCCCTCGCAAGACGCGCTGATCCCCAAGCAAAACTCCTTTCGGCAGAAGATGCAAGGCAACGAAATTTTCTGCATCCATGGTGGTCCACGCGAATCCTGAAGCCGAAGTCCTCCAACCCAGTCACGAATCATGCGTTTCGCCCACAAGGCTGCATACATCTTGCCCAAATAGAACAATACGTCAGCAACATGCTCAAATGTGGATGCCTTTGGAATGCGTTGTATATATTTCGGTACACAGCAACAAGACCAAGCGAAGATGCTGGTTCAGCGCTTTTTCTCGGCTGCAAGCATGGTCGTGGCCTCTCGTACTATCGCAGCCACAGCTTGATCCACCTCTTTCCGCGTGGTATGCCTGTAGCAACCGCGAACAGCGGTGCGAACAGGTTGAGGCATGCAGAACGATGACAGTAAAATATCAATACCGTAGGCGGAAACGCTCGGTTGAGAGGGAAAAGGGACGGAGAGAAGGAGAAAGAGAGGAAGTGCGAGAGGTTGGGTGAGGCAAAAAGGGGGGAGATACGACGAATGTATGTAGCAACGGTCCTGCACAACAAATGAGAAGGAGAACCGTTTCGTTTCGACGAAGAGACGAAAACCGATATTTTTGCCCCTCTGGCTTCCACAGCGACATTCCAGCAGTATTGAACCCCATCTGCTACTGAATGAGCCCCGAAGGCTCTCGTCGCGTATTTCAGCGGGACGGTGGGGCGGAGACAACAACAGGACGAAATCGATGTTATCTGGAGGCCATTTAATAACAGAACGCAGGACGTGTCTACAAACATGAGCGTGATGTAGGCATGCAGGATGATCTGTCGTTCTTTCAGATCCAAAACAGGCATTCAAGCGTGTGCTAGCAATACATTGCTTCATCTCCAGCTTGCAACAGAGAGCTTACGAAACTTCTAAAAATCATCTAGTGCTGCTCAGCAATGCCGTGGCCTACCTCCCAACGGATAGCCGAAGGGTGCCAAATCCCGTCGGCTCATCCACGCCCATCGCTTGCAATACCCCAGACATGGTCGCTTCGCCGGCGTGGCATGCCGAACCCGCGGACGCCGCCACCGTTTCTGAAAGCTAAGCATTACAGAGCAATAAACGTGACACATCACGAATGTGCACAAATCAGTCGAGGAGGGCAAGGGGGGATCGTTCGTGGTCAGCTAGGAACCATAGACGTGATGTCTGTTGCAGCAGTGTATGCCCGCGTATTTTTCGATGGAGGAAAGCTGATGTGACCTTGGAAGGCACTTCGTTGTCGCACTCAGCCCTTTCAAGCCTGAAGCATGATTTGGCATTTTCCCCCATGCTCATCGATGATGCGATGATTACTTCGAAAATTCGCAACGCTTGAGCTAATACGTGAAGACTGACTGTAACGCTCCCTACCCAGCATCCGGAGCGAATGCCGTACAACAAACACCTTCGCCCTCCGCAGGGTCGATCAACTCCGCGATCCAAACATTTCTGGGGTCTTGCCGGCCAAAAACTGTGTTAGCAGCAACAGAAACATTATCGTCGTTGCCTTGACTAGAGCAAAAGTCTTCGGGAGCCGTGCCGTTGACACGGACATCCAGCATTTTTTAAGTATCGTTGTACCCTGAGGTGTGAACTCTAGGCAAAAATCATCATCGTGCTCTCCTGCAACGCCCACGCCACCGTGAACGTGAATCGGAAAATCGTCAACGCCCCCCGATTATATGTACCGTCGCCAACCGGTCGAAAGTTGAATTGGCTAGATACCCGTGGAATTTGTTCCAAAAGATGTACATGAGGAGAATGTATTTTAGCTGACGCAAAGTTCTCAAGCTCCTCTCACCCGCTCGAGCAGCCCCCGTGCCTCCACCCCCGGAAGGCCGATGCTGAGCGTGTTGGGCAGACGCAAGGAGGGGCTACGGGGACCGTGTACCTTTACGCCGTCCCCCAAATTCGCCGCCATGAGCAGTTCCAGAAGGCGTTCGCGCATCGCGGCAAGGTGCTTCGAGAGCCGCTCGAGCTCGACGTCAACAATCTGCGGTCAGACCCCATGGCACGATGCAACGGGTGGTACAGCATAAACGGGAGGGGGACATGGGTCACAGATGACGTGCAGACACGCAACAAAGGAACTGGTATCCTCGTCGAGGAAGGTAGCGGACAGGAAGGTCGATGGATCCAATGGAAGATAGAGCAGCAAAAACACCAGCACAGCTCAACTCAGTCGTAGTCGACACAGGCTGCATGTAGATTTTAGTCTGGGTTCCAGGGTTGAGCCCCACAGATATCCCCCCCCTCTTTCGGTAGTTACAAGTACCAAGGTTCGGGGTACTCGTCGTCGCATCGTGGGACATACTCGTTCGCCCACCAGCATCAACAAGCAGCCTGAGGGATCCACTGAACTGGAGCGGATCGCCGGAAAAGTCCTCTCAATTGCGGTGGTTGGACGTCATTGCACCCCCTACTGGTCCCTGGTTATGCCATTCGTGGCTTCCTACACCTCTTGGTATCGCCGGGAAATCTTTAGTCTACTTATGCCTTGTATTTGTTAGGCAGCGGCCAAGACCAAACTCGCTAGGCTAGACCTCGTTCGAAACACGGGGCGACTGAATGAAGGTCTCAACGTCGCCTTCTTCACCTGACGTACAAAACGTACAAACAATAAAAACAGTGACAAACGATGGCGACAAAGATATCGACGACCAAGCAGAAGAAAACGAAGACGACGACAAACCTCTGCGGCCTTGCCCATCCCAGAAATCAGGAGCACGTTCTCGGTCCCCGCTCTCCTTCCTGCCTCTTGACCCCCACCGTGTATCATTGGCGGTAATGCCAGCCCTCGCCGTACGAAGAGAGCGGCCACTCCCTTGGGCGCTCCGAACTTGTGGCCAACGAGGGTGAGCATGTCCACGCCGAGGTCCGCCACCTGCCTTGGTTGTTGCATTTAGTAGCCGGCACGCGCGAGATAACCGCATCATCTAGCTGTCACCAGAAGAGGGACACAAAGAGCAGCAACACGGACAGCCGTGGTGCTGGCGTGGCAGCCTAACTGCCTGTCTGCCCGTCCGTGTGTGTTTTTAAAGTAGCATGGACCGCACTTCTTGACCGGCTGGCCAATGAAACGCATGAACGCTTTCCCAACCGAGGGGTTGTCTGATCGGGTGCGCGTGAAACACAACGGGCAGAGGTTACCCCGCTTCTCGAACGTCTGCGAAAGCTGCTGGCTGGCTGGTGACAGTGCTAGCGGGGAAAACAAACGGAAATAACGTCTTGTTGTCCTCAGGGTCCCCGACAGGGGGGGCGCAGAAGAATGCCGGGCACAAAGGTCCAGCCCCTCCCTGATTTCGAACGCACTAAGATAAGAAGACGACACAGCAGTGTGTGTGCGCGCGCGCGCGCGGTTTCAGAGTGTGAGTCAGTGAGCATCCCGCAGGCAGATTCAGTAAGGAGTCTGGGCAGACGAAACGGCTGTACCTCAAAGCTTCCCCGGGAGATGTACTACAGGCTGCGCCACTTTTCTGTCAACGCGGAAGGAAGAGAAAGGCACAAAAGCGCAATCACGCGTGTTTCGCCTCGCGGCAGGGGCGCATTTCGCCAGTCGTTCGTGCCAATGCCGTTGTGGAACCGGGATCAAACGATGAACGAATACAAAACTACTTCTCTATGTTTTAATACTTGCCGATCAGACCCAGGGGGGGTTGGGAACACGCACATTCACGGGCACTTTTCCGATACTTTGGGCGGCATCGGTGTGGCACATGATCCCTCGCTGCCGACAAGCCGCCGCGATCTCCGTGATGGGCTGCAGAGACCCCACCTGGACACGACCGGTACACGCATAAAGAGCAAAGGTAACCACTGTAGTGTGTGCTGCTGGGAAGAAGAACCCTCTCTCGTGATCTGATGTCGGACACACTCCGAGGAATGTGCCCAATACCAACTTTGGTGATATATTGGGGTTCTGTACTTGTGGGACTCGCGCCTCTAGCGTGGGTTGTTGCACGCGATGACGGCAGCTGCACCGCTCGGTGTCAACAACAACGGGATGCAAATAACAAGGAAGCACAACACATCGGCACCTTACCGAAGCCGTCGTCTGTGCACCAACGGATGAATGGTCGCTGTTGGAAGAACGATGCCAAGGGAACGCCTACTCACGCCAGGATTGCTGTTAATTGTGAGCTTCACCGTTGCCTACTGCGGGTGAAGAAAGTAGGTGACGAAACCAGCACCCATACGCATAGAAACATACATCGCTAAAAATTAGACCTCACAACAACTCTTGTAATCGTTCTTCCTGGTAGTCACAAACATCAACACGACACCGGTTGAAACAATCGCCGCTTGCTTGACAGTGTGAGCGATGAAAGTCAACGCCGGTCGAGCGTCACTCCCACCACTCTTGGCACAAGGACGTACGCGATACTTCGAGCGTGAAGACACCTGATTCTTGCTTTCCGTAGGTGAGCTTAGGCGTGTTCCGATATCACGCATCCATGGTTCGTCTTTGAGCACGGTCCGAACAACGAAACTGTCTTTGCTCATGGCCATCTCAACGCCGTCCTTCAAGGCAACAAGAAGCGCGTAACACGAACCATCCCTCACCTCGTTGTTGCTGTGCATGATGGTCACAAGCGTCGTCTCCGGCCGAAAAGCTCTCACGACATCGTCAACGGAAACCCTGCCCTCTTCGTCTACCCCCACGAAAGTCACTTCCACCTTCCCCTCCGCCACGAGGTGGTTGAGGCACTTGGTGATGGCGGGGTGCTCGATCGCCGAGGACACCACGTGCGGCAGCGAACTCGAAGCAGCAGAAGCAGGAGTTGTCGCTGCTTCGGCGTGTAGCGTCAACTGGATCGAGACGATGGGGGTAAAGCAACGTTCCTAGGTTAGGGGTTTGAAGCTGCAGGACCGCAACCTAAAGGAAGCAAGCGGCGGACTTTGCGACGGGCTGAGAACGAAGTGAAGGGCATCGCAGTAGCAATCGGGCCAAAAACACACGCACTGCGCGAAACCCAGAGATCTGTTCAGACCAATCTAGAGCGCTCCAATCCCACGACGCGCGTGCATCTTACCGAAGCGAGAATGGCGTGGTTGTCGGCCTCCGACCCGCTCGCGACGAACACGACCTCTTCCGGCGAGCAGCCGAGCAGCGACGCCACGCGCGCGCGAGCCAGCGCTACGGCCTTCTTGCAGGCCCTCCCCAGGGCGTGGCCGCTCGAGGGGTTTCCGAAGCACTCGCCGAGGAAGGGAAACATCTCGCGCGAGACCTAACAATATGTTCAGGAAAAGAAGGGAAATAGGTTGTTCTTAGGACGGTGTATTGTCGAGGAGAGATTGCGTATATGAAGAGACCATGTGCGGACGCGGGGAAGGGCATCTAGCGCAAGACTCGAAATTTGATGAGGTTGCATATCCAGGTAGGCATATATGCGGAAGGAGCTTGCCGGAAGATCCGCAGAGAAAGAGGTATATCTCTCGAGATTGATAGGCATGCGTGCTTCCGCGAAGATAGGGACCTGGTCGGTGATCTCATCGTTCAAAAGCAGCCACACATATCGTAGACTCCACGAAGTAAAAGGTAAACGAAAACATTACACAACAGAAAGGAAACGGGTGAGGTCGGAACCTGGCCAAGGCTCCACACAACACAGAAAGGAAACGGGTGAGGTCGGAACCTGGCCAAGGCTGCTCACAACACCTCACCACAAGACCAATACCGTGTCATGTCCAAAATATCTCCTAGGGAACAAGTCGTGCGAGACTCAAGAAAAAATATTTGCTGGTTCCTGGCAGCAGCATTAGTTTCCAAGAAGTTGGTCCCAGGCTGTAAAGGGGCGTTGTGATCCAAGAGAAGCAACTAAGCCTCTGTGCTAGGAGGAAGGGAAAACAAACACCACAACCGCGGGCAAGTTGGCCAACTGTCCGCAACGCCGAACAGAATACGCAGGAGCTGACCACACGCAAAAGGGCAGTTAGCTTCACGTTCCTCGCACTCGAAACAGCTTGACCTTCTTCCTCGAACTCGAAAAGGCAGCAGGGGTCAGAGGACTCACCTCCGGAAATATCGGCGAAGTGGCGTTGTAGTCCTGCAAGGCGACGATAACACCGGGCGGTCCAAATAGACAGACGGATCAAGCGCAAGAAAAAATATCCACACAAAATTGGAGGAAGATCGACAGGTTCTCGCCTGGTGTACTCACAAGTGTGTTTCTCGGGCGGTCATTCCTTTCCACACTCAAATAGACTTGGGCTACTGTGCGATACGCATAAAAGAAGAGTTTCACACATATCGTTTAATATAACTGGCCACCCTTCTTCAGCTGCTTTTCCCTTCCCCTCCCCCCCTCTGTTCCCCCCCGGTGTTTGCCATCGGGGTTGGGTTTTCGTCGCTTGGCAACGACGTTGTAAAACAAGCCGCCCCCCCCGGTGTTTGCCATCGGGGTTGGGTTTTCGTCGCTTGGCAACGACGTTGTAAAACAAGCCGCCCCCCCCGGTGTTTGCCATCGGGGTTGGGTTTTCGTCGCTTGGCAACGACGTTGTAAAACAAGCCGCCCCCCCCGGTGTTTGCCATCGGGGTTGGGTTTTCGTCGCTTGGCAACGACGTTGTAAAACAAGCCGCCCCCCCCGGTGTTTGCCATCGGGGTTGGGTTTTCGTCGCTTGGCAACGACGTTGTAAAACAAGCCGCCCCCCCCGGTGTTTGCCATCGGGGTTGGGTTTTCGTCGCTTGGCAACGACGTTGTAAAACAAGCCGCCCCCCCCGGTGTTTGCCATCGGGGTTGGGTTTTCGTCGCTTGGCAACGACGTTGTAAAACAAGCCGCCCCCCCCGGTGTTTGCCATCGGGGTTGGGTTTTCGTCGCTTGGCAACGACGTTGTAAAACAAGCCGCCCCCCCCGGTGTTTGCCATCGGGGTTGGGTTTTCGTCGCTTGGCAACGACGTTGTAAAACAAGCCGCCCCCCCCGGTGTTTGCCATCGGGGTTGGGTTTTCGTCGCTTGGCAACGACGTTGTAAAACAAGCCGCCCCCCCCGGTGTTTGCCATCGGGGTTGGGTTTTCGTCGCTTGGCAACGACGTTGTAAAACAAGCCGCCCCCCCCGGTGTTTGCCATCGGGGTTGGGTTTTCGTCGCTTGGCAACGACGTTGTAAAACAAGCCGCCCCCCCCGGTGTTTGCCATCGGGGTTGGGTTTTCGTCGCTTGGCAACGACGTTGTAAAACAAGCCGCCCCCCCCGGTGTTTGCCATCGGGGTTGGGTTTTCGTCGCTTGGCAACGACGTTGTAAAACAAGCCGCCCCCCCCGGTGTTTGCCATCGGGGTTGGGTTTTCGTCGCTTGGCAACGACGTTGTAAAACAAGCCAATTCACTTCGTGAACTCGGCAACCAGGTTACCGTTTTTTTTTTTTACCTCCGTTTTTTTTTTTGGCGGTAACCATAATGGTGGTCGAGTAGATCATGTTGTGCGGGGTGGAGAACCCTCACTCCGCGCAAGGGGGATGATCGCACCACGTTGTGTTAAAATGGTCAAGCACCCTCGAGGCAGTTACACAGTGCTTACAACTGTCTCTGGAAGTGAAAGCACGAGAAAGTAAATTAAGTCATACGCAGCTGTCATCCGTACGCAAGGGAGTAAGCACAAGATGCCGAAAACCCTTAGCAGGATGCAGCGCACCCTTCATGCGACTCGCCGAATATCTCACGGCGCTTCGCGCTTGGTGATGTGAGAGCCTGGTCCGGTGAGAACCCGGCGTGCTCCGTCCCGGCTTTGTAGGGATGCGAGGTCAATGGCCTAACGACTACGGCATGCACGACTATGAGTACACCCCCCCCCTCCCCCCCTCTCAGTTGGGGCACAATAACAGCCAAGGGTATCTTTACGCCGTCTTGGAACAATGACAGCAGAAGCGTCATTAACTGCAGTGTGTCAACAAGTCCTTCAGTTTATTGTTGGTCTGTTGCCCTTTTCACTGCGACTGTGTCTTTCGCGCTTTTCCTCACCAGGTAAATGCACCGCCGGGTCCCTCGATAGGGTAACGCCACGGCTATCCCAGTCTTGGAACTCATCCCGTCCGTGTTCAGACATGCACGTGGGGAGAAGAACTTCTTCGTGGCCTCGACGACAAGCAGCACGAAGAACGCCATGGCCACGATATCCCAAAAGCCTGCGTCTGCACGGATGGGTGAAAAAAAAACAGAACCATGAATAAAATACTTTACCACGTGAGGAAATTGTACAGGCTCAACAATGCTTTCGACAAACCAGCGGATCCCCTTGATTCACAGATGATGCAAATACTTGCGTCGCCTCCCGCACTTTTGTCGCAAAGTGAGAGCGTTGAAATATCAGACAGTTGACTGCACGCTGGAGGGATGGCGATGGCGACGATTGCCAGGCAAAAACTTACCGGATAACCGCATCAAGTTTCCGGTGGTAGCGGGCGTTCCGATGCCAGCCCCGGCGGTTACTTTGGCTGGCACGGATCCGATACACATCCCTGCTGCCACGGCCGCCACCGACAACTTCTCAGTCGACAGGCAGCGGGAAGCAGCGGGCGATCGGCGGGTAGATGGACACACAAATTGGAGTCGCTGCGGGTGAGGGTTGAGGGTTGCGGTACTACACCAGACAGACACGATACCATGATCCAGGTCGCTCGAGACATAGAGGCAAGCAACTGCGGGAGGACCCCGTTATTCAAGTGCGTCCACTGGTTGAGGAGATCACCAGCGCGACAGGAGAGAGAGCATCGTTGCTCACTCCAAACCACACCGATTTGCCAGCTACCTCACACCGCAAGGCGGGTTTGCTGGTGCAATATTCGATAAGGTTAGACCGTGTCCTCAGAAAGAGGCCTTGCGGGCGCACCTCTCTTGAGTGATTGGTGGATAAAACACTTGAACATGAAATATTTGTCTTTCATCGAATGAGGGGGGTGTTATCTACCGTGGTTGGAGGTTGGTCCGAAAGTTTGCTCTTCCCGACCAGCTCTTCGTTGGCTTGCCAAGCATGCCTGAGCTCTCCATAAAATCATGGTCAGTGGAGCGGGCTTTTCGCAGCAGACATTGTGTAGCTACAGCAGTAACACGCACACGAACGATCTCATAGGTATGTTACCACACACCATTGACTCACCATCGACAGAAGATGCACAGCCTATCCTTCGAAACTGTAGTTGTTGTAGCCTGCTCTTGATGGCGTGTTCCGCCTTGATCGCCAACACCCGATGCTGCCCGGTGTTGATCTGAGCATTCAACACCGCAGATCCTGTCCTGCGTGATGCTGATCCGCGGATGGTGGGGCTTGGTGTGCGCTACTGCTGTAAGGTCGGGGAGTGTTGAGGTAACGAAGGATGTCGCGAGCTGCTGTTGTTGAAGAACACAACCTTTTTCGCGGTTACTGAGACGATCAGGAACAGCGGGTGATAGCAGCCCTGACGAATATGCAGTGGGCTGACAAGAGGCAGCACGTCGCGCGCCAAGGGTGTTGTCAGAAGCAGCGTAACGGCCTCATGCAAGGGCAGCTACGCAGCTAACCAGAGGCGGCGAGACTGTCAGGTTTCACAACCTGTTGGGCATTTTGTTGAAAACAAAAAAGGTCCACAGCAATCCGCAACAGACAATCTTTGGCGGTTGACAGGCCCACAGGCCAGGCCCAGCACCCAGCACACTGCAGTGACTACTTCTGTCGTCTGCCCTCCGAGCTCGCCCTGTAGGTCATTGCATTTTCTGCGATGTCGGACGAATCTAGCCACGATAGTAGCAGTAAACTGGATGGGCTGGTGGGTACCGGGGCGAGGCCGCTTCAGATCGGGGACGAGATCCCGAACTTCACGTGCGACTCTCACATGGGGAGCATAACGCTTCACTCGTACATCAACAGCGGCTGGGGGGTAATCTTCACGTGAGAGGCGTAAATCTGCGTAGCTGTAAATTGATACAGTTTGTTGCGCTTTCGTATGTTAGACTATACCACACACGACAATATAATGTAGTTGCTGCAAGCCTAGTCTAGCCAGCGTATCGACGTGTGTATCTTTCTGCGTAAGGCGTTGGATATCATGCGCAGCAGTGCTGTGCTGTACGACGTACTTGTACCCTATATCAGACCATTGGTGACACCACCAAAGTAGTAGTAAGTCTCGAGGTAAAAACTCGAACAAGTCAGCTTGAGCACTTGCTGCTCCAGAGAAACGCGCCCCTTGCGCTAAAAGGTTTCTGCCTGTACGTTCGTGCGCATCTCATTGTGCCATTTGGGCAGACATTCGCGTGGGTGCGTCCTGCCGACGGGACGCACATGTTACGGCTCGACCCTAGGGAGGACAACCGCTGTAGCACAACACGCTCCCACATTAAACACCGCGCCACGCACGAGAGCAGTACCTTCCGTGTATGTCGATTGGCAGCTGGGCCTACATGTACAACTAGTCTACAACATTTCTCGCATTGTTTGCAAACTGTTGCCTCCTCTCGGGGTACAAGATGTTTTGATTTTGGTGCGTTTGCGGCATTCCCGGCACCAAGCGGTTCCTGCCGATCCACCCACAACCACCCTCTGTACTTTTATAGATATCCGCGAAATAACGACCCTGTAGCTTGCACGGAGCTTGGAATGCTGAGTAAACTATCGGAGGAGTTCGACGAGAGAAACTGCAAGCTGCTCGCCATCGGGGTGGACTCAAAAATAGGACACCGGAACTTCATCAAGGAGGTGCAGGTACTGACAAGAAAATCATTTTTTTTTTTTTGTTCAAATGACATGACCGGATGACAAATTTTACAATACACGAGCGCACGCTGCACCACCAATCAGAAAAGGCCTTACGGTAGGCCTGGTGCTACGGTAGTGATCTGTGGACGAGGTGGGAGCTGAAAATCCCGGCGTAAGGCCGCGAATGCGTTTTTGAATTGTATCGCGACAACGAGTGAGAACGAACCGTTCGTTAGCATACACGCCGCCAACGCAATTCAGGCGACGGCAGCTAGTCTATGTAGACTATATCCTCCCCGCCCAGCGCCAAAGGCGACACAGTGTGATTCTCAAACCCCGCCTGCACTTGCCCGACCTACTCAGGAACTCCAGGACTGCGAGTTGAAGTTCCCCATCATAGCCGATGCCAGCGGCGAGATATTTTCGCTCCTGGGCTTGGTACGGGAAGATGCAGTGGACCCCACCAAAGGACTTGTACCTCAGGTGCTGTGTGTGATGGTGTAGACTATACCGCACTCATTGGGTGTGGGTATTTGTTTACCTCAGATTTGAAACGAATAGGCCACGTCCAACCAGTGCGCTTGCCTGGAGACAAATAGTGTAATTTGTTTGGCGTGCCAACCAGCCCTGGTTAGCGCGCAAAGACGTCGGCACCACCAGTGCCTGGAGTGCTGTGCACGACTTCTTAGATGACGACAATTTTTCTTGTTGATTGCCAGCGAGACGAACGGATGCTGCAGTAAATTCGATTTTCCGTCAAGTTTTCATGCGCCCCCCCTTTCGGTGTGTCCTCCTGCCCACAAGTTGGCCAACCACGCCACGCAATCATGACTCTTGCCATGAACAGACGTCTTTGCTGGTGATCGACTTGGACTTGCGAGTGAGGATGATAGTGCAGTACCCGTGTACTGTTGGGCACAACTACTACGAGGTGGGACGATCTGCGTGATGCGCAGCATATTGCAACCACCCCTTTCACCGCGACGGCCATAGACGCTCTTGTAGGAATGTAGACCAGCATAGAGAACCATAAAATCAATCGAGCTGAGGCAACTCACCGAAACCGTCCATGTCATCGTGGTGTATCTTGGACGATACATGCCTAGTCTACTATGGCAATCCGTTGACGAATCCCACCCCCGCTCTCCCCTGCGCATACATATGATGTGCGTTTTGATCCTTTGGCTGTTTTCCTGGGGCACAACGCAGGCTCTGAGGGCGATCGATGCGCTGCAACAGGCAACGTTCAACCGGGTCGGGATACCGGCCAACTGGAAAGAAGGCGAAGATGTGCTTATCGGGGCAAACGTAAGTCTTCTTCTCCCTCCACGTCCCCTACCCCTGGAACCTTCCTTCCAAATTGTGTGTTTGTGTGCAGTCTAATCCTCGTATGATGCCGTTTCTAAGCGTGTTGGTAATTGACTTCTACTCTGGCGTACCTAGCGTTTCGTGGCAACACTGTCTTGCCAAATGTAACACCAACTCGGCCAGGCCCGTTCCCGACCATTCGCCGAATTGGGAACCAAAAAAAATTTCCGTCACCGGGAGACGTTGGGAATCTGGGCGGAACAGTTCCAGCTATTATGCATACAATGGTTGACACATGGTCCCGGGACAAAGGCAAAAATACTGTCAAATTCAACGGCACCCATACCAGTGAGACGTGTCGACGGTCCGTATCGAGTCTCAAATCACGTACTGCCCGTTATCCCAGGTGTCATCGTCGGACGGTGGGCAAATGTTTCCCAAGGGGTTCGTCCAGTTACGACCATGGTTCAGGGTGACCCCTCAACCAGACTACGACTGACAGTTGACGAGGACGGAGAGGCAGAAAGGGGACGAGGGCGGGGGCGGGCTGGGGGGGGAGCATGCCCTGCAGGAATAAGAGGCAGGATGCATCGTTCAAAGCTCGTCTTGTGGGCCATACTTTCCCACAGGTTGGTAGGTATTCGTGACCTATTTTCTGAAGGACCCAATGCGATTTGAGAAAGGATAGCGAAAAGCAACGCAAGAACTCCAAGGTACTACGACAACAACGGGGTCGTGCTGACAGACACCCTTTTTCAACACAGCAGGCTCACTAGAATCACGCGCATCATCAAGGGGCTAGGCTCTGGTTAACAAGCACCCAAAAAAATGTGCCATTCCCATGTCTTTTGCTTTTCATGGCCGCAGCGTTTGCCCCGGAAGACTTCGCCTGCTGTGCATACAACACCGGAAAGTATCATCGGAGTGTGTTCGCCAACGACAATAAGAACCACGAAACGAACATCTATCTGTGTACTTTCCAACTCCGATCGAAACGTCAAGAGCAAACACGGCTCGCAATCGCGTCTGGGGAGCGAGCAAATATCGATTCCTTCCCCGACCACGGAACAGTCTACCAAAGTCACTCCGAAGGAAATCTTCAATGTACCCATTGACACTTACCAAAAGCGAGCTGGCCACGTACCTGAAGAACGATCGATTGGCCGTTCCGGAAACGCCTCCGCATACCAACAGCACAGGCTCTCTCGCTCCTCCCCTTACGACACCATATCAAAACAAGTTACCGGGTGTTCGAGCACAGAGCATCTGCTCTTCTTGGCTGATTGGAGTTCAGGTGTGGACTCTCGCGCCGAAACGTGAAGAAAAGTGGGAAACAAAAGCCTGGCAAAATCGTCTTGCTTCCCGTCTGCACAAGTAAGGGACGCTCTTTTCCACAGGACACAATAGCAACTCTGTCCACCGTCCTTCCCCGACATAGAACAGCAAGCACAGCAGTAGCGCCAAACAAGGCGTCCGTGATAAAGATTCCGACAATGCCGCCAAACTACATTGTCACACTGGTAAGGCCAAGAAAAACGTCATTCAATCAGGGAGGGAATACTAGAGGGATCAATCTAATCGAGGAATCATGCCCCTTACCGCACCCCACCAACGTATCTCCCTCCGTCGAACGAACACGAACTCAATCGTTCATACTGCCTGTAGGCGGGAAACAAAGCGACCAGAATACTTCCCCTGCACGCGGCGTCCTTCCTCCCTTGCTAATGCAATGAACCCTAGCGAAATCACTGAACCGCATATATTACAATCACGAAAAATCGAGACGGCTTACACTATTGGGACTTGTGCGCCCGGTGTCCAAAGAATGCACTAATTCGACACCATTTCACTGTTGGTTTTGAAAACACACCGAAATCTACAACCAGCAACGGTGATGCCTTGCGAAGCAGGGAGAAAGGACTAAAAGCGAGCTCCTTTGAGGATTGCGCTCTGCCTCTCTCCGCTCCTCCACAACAGCGGCGCGCTTCCCGCTCAGCCTCTGGAGCTGCGTGGCTCCTATCGCGACCTTGGGGAGTCGATCACACTTGCGTGTGTTTCACGTTTGTTCCTTGCCCAGGTCCAGTTTACTCCTTATCCCCCTCCTCCTCCTTACCCGAGACCTTGTCGACGATGTCGTCGAAGAGCATCTTCCACGTGTTCTGCGGCTTGTTGCAACTCTCCACGTAAATAAGGTGGGTCCCGAACTGCGTCTCTACCGGCCCTGGAATCACATACAGAGGACAACACCAAAAAAGGCACACATAGGGGTGTATTGGAAGTCGAGCCTTCGCTAAGGGTTTGGGTCCCACTGCAGCAGGACCTCAACAAATTTCCTGGTAGCTACATCGTTCGGTGTCAAACCAAACCTACGCCGAGAATACATGTGACAGCTGGGCCGGTACAGCGTATGCGTGGGGTGCGGAATCTCTCAATGCGTGTGTTGTCTGTTGACATATGTAGAGGGTCTCTCTCTAAAGGCAGAATCAGATCGCACTCATGTCGTGTTTTAGATGGACGGAAAACAGGTCAACCGATTCGCCGGCAGGAAAAGAAGTCCACCACACCCACCACCAACACCATCGCCACAAACAAATACAACGACGAGACTCATTTTTTCGATGATCCCCCCAGGAAAATGGAAAGAGGGAGACCCACCGTGGACCACTCCGAGCTCCCCGTTGAACGCAATGTCGTCAAATTCGGGAACCGTCTCCCCACGAGCCAGCAGCTTCAGTCTACCCCCCCTGGGCTGCACACACCATAAGAGACGGAACATTGCGAGTAGCCGCACGCACATGTGAAAAAGAGGTAGGTACTCTTCCTCGACAGACGTTGTACACTCTGATCGGCCCTCGATCGTTCATTCCATTTTGCGGTTGCCACAATTTCTTGGTGTTTGGCGGCTACGGTGGCGGGATTTGATCCCGGCTTATCTTCCAACATTTCATCGTCGACGCCCATGTGACAAGAGGGAATCGTCCAACTTGGGTGTTGGGGAGATGTGGCCCAAGTCAAGGAAGTCAAGGCCACCTCCGCAAACATCTGTGGATATTACAACGGATCCCTCCGTCGTGGGCTCGTAGATGTTGCAATTGCGGTGCGGTTCAGCTGGGCCCACGCAACACCGCGCTCGACCTCCAATTTGGCGGGGTGCGTACGGTGGTTCCATGACTCAACACCCTACAAAATCCAACACCGTCCAGCAGTAGAAAAAATTGCTGGGCTCACCGCACTGGTACACGTGCTCATCTTCTCCGCCACTTCGGAGAACCTGTCGAGGTCTCCCGCGATCTCTTCCTTGGCCTCCTCCAGCTTGGAGCGACCCTCCTCTCCCTTCTCCTCGACCAAGATGTGCCTCACCCGCGCGTAGCGGGTATCCGACATCTTCTCCAGCGTCCCCTTGAAGTCGAAGCCCATGGACAACGACGACGTTGATGTCCTTGCTACAAGTTTGATTGCAACGAACGCATGTTTTGAGAACGCACCATTCGTACGCAAATACTTAGCATAAGGTCAACATGATATGACGTGAGGTATCAAGTCCTCGGGGAGAAATGTCGGTGAAAAAATGTATCTACGTCGTCATGAACACTGGCAATAGATGTCCGGCGGTATTTTTTCACAGCATCTCGCGATAGCGCGTGAATCGAGCTGCGGTTAAGATAATGGTCATATCCGATGGGACACAGCTCAGGAAACAATGGTCATATCGCCCCACCCCATCCCAATACGACCTTTCTACACCGGTGCAATATCGATGCCTCGCAGTTTCATAGGTTGTAGAGTTCCCAAGCCGCCTTGATCAAATGTAACGTCTAAATAACGCTCCGACGAATGATAACTTGCAGATTCGTCTCTATGCATACGTCTCGACTGCTGCGTGTTGTGGTCGTTGGGTCAGGGCACAGCAAGCACTTGGCACCCGCCGGTAGGTGCTGCCATACTGTTGTCCAGAAAACATAAATCATATGTAGCCGAACGAACAAGGCAGGGCACATCACACAAGATCGACGGCTGCCTGTCAGCGGGGAGCTGGAAAAGCTAGCATACCAGCTGCTGTACTGCCGTAGATTAAAAACAGCATTTCTCTTTCGGTCGGTACAGAACATGAATCTGGCTGCAGTCTGGAGCCGGAACTTGCTCCTCACTCTGCTCATGATCCTTGTCGACATCATACCACAAACCAACACCACGATGGCAGCAGCACCATGACGGCTAGAGTTGGCGGTTAACAATTTCTGGGAAGAGCAGTAATCGCGCCAGCACTAACATGCGGCCCTGCACGCCAAGCAGCAGGTAGTAGCAGTACCCCAGAACGATACATCAACAAGGCAGAGTTGACCTTACCTGGTGTGCTGCCCACAGCCGAGCGCGCATTCCGGCAGATAGGAGGCACGGGGACGAACCCGGCCACGCTCACCAGCACGCACAATAGAAGCATTACCGTTTCCCGCATCATCTCTCTCGCTTACTGTGGCGCGAGGAGAGGAGAGCAGCAGGATACCGACTGCAAGCAAGCGCACCTCGCTCGAGTTTTGCGCCCGCTCTCCCCACTGTCTTTCACAGTCCCTCGATCTGCGGAGCCCCCGCGTAGCTCAGCGGGGGTTTGTTGGAGGCTCCGCCGTTTCCCTCTGGCCACTCTGCTGCTTGTACTAACTGTCTCACGCTGTCCATTGCGTCTGGAGAGCAGCTGACGTGGTGCATGGCTCGACCAACGGGAGAGGGGTGAGTGGAGCAGAAGTTTATTGAATTTGGAAGCTGACCAGACATAGTATTTTTTGCAAGGGTCCTCAGGTACCCACTTGCAGTATGTTGTACGGAGGTCCCACTTTTGAATTTGAAAGTTGTCGAAGTCTTTCGTTTGTAACATTAGCGCCCCCGTTGTTCCTCTGTTGGGGGCTAGCCTTGGAATGGCCTCTCAATGGTAAGATTACACCCTATTGCTGAGTGGTTGTTGCGCTGTTGAACGCTGTTTTCAAGAGTCGGAATGGGCAGAGACTCGGAAGTAGGACTAAGAGCGCTTTTGTCTCTTCCTGTGCCCTTGTACAGCACCCACTCACAGACGGTTGAGATATGCGGTATCTTGCCTCACTCAACTCGAAGGGTGGGTGCATTAGATACATCCGTGCTATTTACTGTAGTTCACGGCGTGAATATGTACTGCTGTAAGCATCAGACATCGCGACAATGTTCGGAGCGTGGAAGATTTCAGATATGAGTGTCAAAGGATTGTAGTTGTACCCGGTGGGCAAGCCATTCTACACCACCCCCGTTCACACCGGGCAGCGTTTATGTTGGATAGTTTGTAGGTCTGAAGTACTACTGCTGTATCCATGGAAATATCCGTTATAGTTTCAAATGATGTGCATGATTTGTTTTTGTGTGCAGAAGAGCACGGCGATTACCGCAACTGCTGTGTATGGCCATCCTTCTCTGAGAGAAGTGTATTCTCCTTCATGTCTCACGGCAGCCGAAGGCGTTCAACCCAGCACGTCGTCACTTGTACCAGTGCAGAACGCGCAAGCTCTAGGTTTCGCCGAGGCTGGGGTTGTTAGTTGCCGAGGTCATGCTACGAATGGTTGCCATATAGATTTAAGTGTTGTTGTTGTTGTTGTTGTTGTTGTTGTTGTTGTTGTTGTTGTTGTTGTTGTTGTTGTTGTTGTTGTTGTTGTTGTTGTTGTTGTTGTTGTTGTTGTTGTTGTTGTTGTTGTTGTTGTTGTTGTTGTTGTTGTTGTTGTTGTTGTTGTTGCTGCTGCTGCTGTTGCTGTTGCTGTTATCGTCTACACATTAAAAAACTTTTCCGGTCTCCGCTCAGTACCTTCTGATAGTGTAGGGGTTTTTAACCGAGCTCACAAATGGCGCTGTGGTTCTCAAATTTGAGTATTTTTAGGCTCGATTTCTTAACTCCTGGGTTCTCAAGTGCGGACGCGTTCTGTACAAAACCTCAACGTGAATATGCGCTGTACCTGATGTTGGATTTTAGCGCAAAGCTTTGAGTTTTCGTCGCATATGTTCCCGTGCACCAACCACTCCAGAACGGGCCCGGAGATCAGAATCGTCAAAATCGGCCCCAGGCTCAGTTTCTTACTTCAATTTTTAGAGTGTAGTTGAGGATCAGCCGCTGAGATGAGAATTCTTACCCCTACTTTGTTATTTTTCGTGAAAATTTGAACCTACCTCTGCTTGTTAACGACATACTTCTGAACTGCGGGCCCGTTGTGTACACCAGCGGAAGTGCCGCCAACGGTAAGAAGAAAGCGTCCGCTACCAAGAAGCCTCGTGGGCCGTCGGCGAAGGAGGTTTCGCCTGCGTCTTCCAAGAGAAAAACCACGGGAGCGAAAGGGAAGGCGAGGAGGAGGGTGTCGGACGACCAGATCGCGAATCAGCTCAAGGTCGTCAAGCAAATCAAGGCAAGACCTCCGTGCTTCTTCTTCTATGCGCGCGTGTATTGCCCTTGCACGAGCTGTCGAGACCACGGTGTTGGTTTTGTCACCTTCCAGTGTAGTTTTCAAGTATCAATTTGCTCTTTTGTCCTGAAAGTTTTTTTGGCTTCATTTGTGTTTGTGGAAACAGCCCTGCTTCGGGCTTGGTTTGGTACTGTCAGAGCAACTAATATCCCACACACGTAAATGTGCCAGACGCGTGTTATGTCACAGAAGTTTCACAGACGGACGGGTACCGTGCCATTTTTTCAGGGTGCGACCGGTCTAGTCGCCCAATACACCCGAGCCCAAAAATAATCGAAACAGAGCGGAAGCAGGAGAGTGGAAGGAGGATACTGTAGGCCGTCGACACAAGTGACGGGAGAAGGGAACGATGACCCGGGACGGATTAAATCGCCAATCATTCGAAGCTACATATCCTTGTTTCTCATGCGCGAAAAACTTGTTTCGTATGGGCGAAAAGCTGCACCATCCACTCGCTTGGTGGCCACCACAGCGTTTTCAGTTTCGTGTTGTTTTGTCTACGTCACAACGACATGATGGCTTTGTACGCCTCCATCGCTTAACACGGACAGGCGAGACTGAAATATGTTGTCGGCAGATTCGAAGAGGCCTATCCCGACGGGCTGGATTTTGCGCCCAACTCCAACGACGCCGACTTCTCGTGAACCAGCAAACACAACACCAGGTTCGTTTTTGCAGCAGCAGGGTCTTCCCAGTGCTTACGAAGAGTGCGGTATTTCGTCAGCAACGTCGAACGCTTCTTTGCGTGTCAGCGTGCTTGTTTATCCACCGACGGGACAATTGGTGACGCTGAGAGAGTCGCCAAGGGTAGTAGCGGAGCTGGCAGTATTGAGAGCGTTGCCGACAGCCGAGGTATTAGCAATGCTGAAGCAACACCGACAGCATGCCCAGGGTGTAGCCGAGAGCGCGGGCATACCACAGCAGTGGCTGGAAGGGACGGCTACGGATGAAATACTGGCGTATCCTCCAGAAACCATCACGAAACGTTGCTGATCCTCCGAGTCTACGCGCCCTCTCACTATTTCACGCATCAGTTGTGGGGCTTGCCACTTTGAATGGAACACAGTAAAAATTTCAGAAGGAGTTCTGACATACCCTGCTTGTTTCCTGTGCGCGCTTGTACTTTTTTGTCGACAGGGTTCTGTTCGGAGGGACTGCCCTGTGGTCTGCGAGCAGGGTGCTCGGCATAATTCTTGTTGTCATCCATCGCGCAGGGGCAACACCAAGAGTTCGGAGGTGTTGGCGAAGAGCGCGAAGGAGGTTCGACGCCCATGAAAAGGAAGGAAACAACTTCCAGGGACAGCAGTGCGCGAGAAATGCGGACTCTCCTCTTCTGCAGGGGATGAATCGCAACACAAACCCAAACTATTTATCGGCAATCAGAATGAGGAGGCCGGCATGACGCGTGCTGTCTGAAATTGGAACCACCAAGCACAGCCCGTAGCCCCTGCGTTGATATTTCTGGTGCGGGATGAATGATTCCGGTTCGGCGTTAAGTTGCGGATCGATGGCCCCGCTTGTCTGTTACCTGTACAATCGAGGAGGTTTTTGGGTAGGCCGCCACCGTCACTGCCACCATCAGGCCGAGCTTGGAGCTTGCAGCCAGATCGACGGAATTGTTGCGTTTTTTTATTTTTTCCGGAAGGACTGTAGCAGAATGAGGGCACCACTCGTCCAACTATCGAGGACGCGTTTCGGGAGGTGTGAACGCAGCATGTGCGTTTGTTTGTTTTACTGGCATCGACCGCGCTAACCGACTGACCAATGAAATGACGTCAGTCTCAGTGCGGTTGTAAGCACAAAATGCTTCTGAAGGCGATGACCTGGGACCCCGTGAGGGGGCGTGATGTACAGTGTGTTCACCCGTTTATTTCTGGCGCCGTTTTGGACACCTTTCGATGTATGTGTTTGACGTATCACCCGGGGTCACAAAGAGGCTAATTTTTTGTGGCGTTGGTTTCATGCCCCACCTTTCCTGCCTGCAGTGAGTACCGTAGATAAAAAAAATCTCGTCCAAGACTTTGTGTTTGAGCGCTTCCCCCCGTTTTGTCATACCAGCGCTTGCAATCCACGCTTGGCCGGCCCATGAAGACTGACTGTCATGAGCTGTGGTAGCGTACTATTACCCGTGACCCGTGTTCCAGGGCTGAGGCGTTGTGTTGGCGGCATAAAAAAAGTCAAAGAAAGCTTTGCTGGTTGACCGATTGACCCGCTCCCGACAGGCACGGCAGATCTGAACAACAGAACTCTGGAGGGGAAAAGCTATTTCGTCCGCCAAGGACGTGGTGATCTTATCCGAGACCTTTGAGAAGTGCCTTCAAGAGAATTTGTCAACACCATAGTCGACCAGGAGATGTTTGCCAAGCTGCACCTCCTTTCTCCTTTTTGGATAGACTCCCCCGATCAAACGTTAACAACGATTTGAATAATGCCCACCAATCCGTGTTTCACCCGTCTACCGCTGTGTGCCCTCTCCCGCGGGAAGGGAGTGGGCGTTTGTTGGGCTAGGGTCTGGGCATCGGAGCGGGAGAGATTGAACGGGTCCCAAATGCGCACCCCCAGGTTCGTGAGAGAAAGATGGTGAACGACTCCAGGCAATCCGATGCTTTCACCCAAATACTTGTCTTTTTTCGATAGGGATTAATCCCAGGTACGTAAGATTTTAGTACGGTGTCCCCCGAAAGCAACCTTTGCCTTTGGAGAGGCATTGCCCTCTCGTGATTGAGTTGTGTATTTATGCTGTTTTCTGACCCACAGGAGAACAGGGATAGCAAGACGACGCCATGACGCTATACTAGAGGCGATATTCCCGAACAACCCCCCCTCCTGCGCCAAAGACGCCTCCTCCAAAACCTCCGGCCTCAAAACACACCCACGGAATACAAACCACCAAAACAATCCAGTGCGGGACGGCTCATTTTTTGTCTGCCGTCTACTCTCGCTCCTACTGCCCGAAAAAAACAAAGAAATGGGAGGTGTTGCGAAAAAACATCCGTTGTGCAAACACAAGTTGCACGGTCTAACCACGAAAAAAACGACACAAAACCAAATCCGAGCAAGTACAAGCGCGCCAAGAGAACACGACCCGAACGAACGTAACCTCATCTGTTAACAACTGTAAAGCGGTAAATCCCTATTTGAATACCAACCCCGTTTCCCTCTCCCACCTTTTGCGCAAGACCGAAAAAATACGTGACGCGGAACGAAAACCTGCTCTCCTATGCACTGTTGGTGCGAGAGCATGCATGTTCGAAGATGACATGCATCACAAGGGAGAGACCCAACTTTTTCCCAACACGCCACTCCGAAAAACAGGCTTGGAAAACGATCAGGATTAGTTAACTTTAAATCTATCGAGACGCTGTCAAAAACGCTCCCGCTAAAACAACCCCCCATGACGCTTGCATCCCCACGTTGTAAATCATACAGACACATAAAAAGCCACGTTTGTATGCACACTTATGATTCGCGCGCACACCAACAGAAACAAACTGCTCGGAACCTGCGTACCATCCTGTACCGAACAAAAGAACCAGAAAATACCACGGAAAAGCATATTTCTACGTGTCAAGAAAAGGTCACAACCCGCGATTTCTCTCGACCACTTCACCTCTGCTTTGTCTGTTCTATCTCCACGGCAACAGACAAAGAGATAAATACCCACGCCTGGCCAAGGGTGTGACTTTCCCTTTTTTACCAGTCACGTCATGCTCATCGAAACGCACAAAAACTAACATTGATATGTATTCCTTGTCCCAACGCCGTCGCCTCCCTACATATTTGCGCCATCTCGACAAAAATGTCCCAACCCCGTCGCCTCCCTACATATTTGCGCCGTCTCGACAAAATTACCAGTAGGCACGATGACAAAAGAGGTGCCGACGTGTGCTGAGCCACCCCCGACACCTTATTCAGGGACAGACCTCCTGAGAGACGCGCACACACGCAAACCAGCGTAGAGGACACTAGCCACAGCGTTGGGGCTACTTTTGGGGGCGATGACCAAAAAAAGCAGGTCTTGGGGTGGGGGGATCATACCTGCGCGGACAGTGTGAGAGTGCGCACTTCTTTCTACTCACTTTTCTACCACGCCATGGGTCATCGAACACAGCCAAATACGCCGCCCTATGCGCATCTCGCATAGCCGGTAACAGGGAACAACGTCGGGTTTTCCCCCCAACTAGGAAGGCATCTGCACGCACAAGAACCCGCCAATCAGCACTCCCCGTGCTCGGTTCAAGGCTAACGCGTTCCAAGCAACCCGAGGACAGAGGTCACAACGTAACCGCCTTTGCAGCTACAGTCGTGGTCCAGGTATAGCGGTTCCATGCTTAGCGGGATGCCCTGAATAGCGGTCCCAAAATCTCGTGGCACGGCTGCACCTCGGTAGTCAAAACGACTGTACCGTGTAACTGCCGATGCGGTTCAGCGGCGATGCCCTCAATAGCAGGTTACAACATTTTGTAGCATAATGAACAGTATTCCGGGACCACGCCCATACTGCACATGGCTTCCATGTTTTGGACGGCGCAGGTGGGTTGCTGTGGACGAACGGGGGGCTTGTCTTCAAATGCCCTTTCCCCGCCTCGGAGTATCGAAAAACGCGTCCAGCATTCCGTCCGCCTGGAGAACCGACAGGTGGCGCAAGCAGAGGCCGGGGGTGGGGGGGTGGGGGTGGGGGTGTACTCATAGTCGTGCATGCCGTAGTCGTTAGACCATTGACCTCGCATCCCTACAAAGCCGGGACGGAGCACGCCGGGTTCTCACCG